TTTTATATTTAAATACAAGTTAGTAAACATAGTGTCATCTTGGTTTCATGAGTAGAGCCCAGGGATTTATCTATTACATATAACACCCAGTGTTCATCCCAGTAAGTGCCCTCTTTAATGCCTATTACTCGTTTAGTCCATCCCCCCACTGACCTCCACTCCAGCAACCCTCATTTTGTTCTCTATATTTAAGAGTCTCTTATGGTTTGCTTCCCTCTCTGTTTTCTTATTTTTCCTTCCCTTCCCCTATTTTCATCTGTTGTCTTTCTTAAATTTTACATATAAGTGAAATTATATTTGTCTTTCTCTAACTGACATATTTTGCGTAGCATAATACACTCTAGTTTTATCCATGTTGTATCACATGGCAAGATTTCATTCTTTTGGATCACTGAGTAGTGTTCCATTATATACATACGTACATATATGCATATGTATATACATGTGCATATATGTATATATATGCATATGTGTATATGTATGTATATGTAGATACACACACACACACACACACACACACACTACATCTTCTTTATCCATTTGTCGATAGATATTTGGGCTCTTTCCATACTTTGGCTGTTTTTGATAGAGCTGCTGTAAACATTGGGAGTGCATGTGCCCCTCCGAATCAGCATTTTTGTATCCTTTGGATAAATTTCTAGTAGTGCAATTGTTGGGTTATAAGGTAGTTCTACTTTTAATTTTTTGAGGGACCTCCACACTGTTTTCCAGAGTGGCTACACCAGTTTGCGTTCCTGCCAACAGTGCAAAAGGTCGCATCCTTGCGAACATCTGTTGTTTCCTGACTTGTTAATTTTAGCCATTCTGACAGGTGTGAGGTAGTATCTCATTGTGGTTTTGAATTGTATTTTCCTGATGATGAGTGATACTGAGCATCTTTTCATGTGTGTTAGACATCTGGATGTCTTCTCTGGAAAGGTGTCTGTTGTCTTCTGCTGATTTCTTCACTGGATTATTTGTTTTTTGAGTGTTGAGTTTGATAAGTTCTTTATACATTTTAGATACTAACTCTTTATCCAATATGTCATTTGCACGTATCTTCTCCCGTTCCATCAGTTGCCTTTTAATTTTGTTGATTGTTTCCTCACTATGCAGAATCTTTTTTTTTTTTTTTAATGTTTATTTTTATTTTTGCGAGAGATAGGGAGACACAGAATCCGAAGCAGGCTCCAGGCTCTGAGCACAGAGCTGAACGCAGGGCTTGAACCAGTGAACTGCGATATCATGACCTGAGCTGAAGTCGGATGCTTAACTGATTGAGCCACCCAGGGGTCCCTGCAGAAGCTTTTTATCTTAATGAGGTCCCAATCGTTAAGTTTTGCTTTCCTTTCCCTTGCCTCCAGAGACTTGTCAAATAAGAAGTTGCTACAGCCAAGGTAAAAAAAAAAAAAAGGTTGCTGCTGGTTTTCTCCTGTAGGATTTTGATGGTTTCCTGTCTCACATTTAGGTGTTTCATCTGTTTTGAATTTATTTTTGTGTATGGTGTAAGGAAGGGGTCCAGGTTCATTCTTCTGCATGTCACTGGCCCGTTTTCCCAGCACCATTTGCTGAAGAGACTATTTTTTCCAATGGATAGTCTTTCCTGCTTAGTTGAAGATTAGTTGGCCATACATTTGTGGGTCCATTTCTGGGTTCTTTGTTCTGTTTCTATTCTGTTCCAATGATCTACGTGTCTGTTTTTGTGCTAGTGCCATACTGTCTTGATAATTACAGCTTTGTAAAACAGCTTGAAGTCTGGAATTGTGATGCATCCAGCTTTGATTTTCTTTTTCAGTATTACTTTGACTATTCGGGGCCTTTTCGTGTTCCATACACATTTTAGGATTGTTTGTTCTAGCTTTGTGAAGAATTCTGGTTTTAGTTTGATAGGGATTGTGTTGAATGTGTAGATTGCTTTGAGTAGTATAGACATTTTTTAAAAAATATATTTTATTGTCAAGTTAGCTAACATACAGTGTATACAGTGTGCTCTTGATTTCGGGAGTAGATTCCCATGATTCATCACTTACATACAACACCCAGTGTTCATCCCAACAAATGCCCTCCTCAATGCCCATCACCTCTTTTTCCTCTCTTCCGCTCCCACCCCAAACCCTTAGTTTGTTCTCTGTGGGTAGTATAGACATTTTAACAATATTTGTTCTCCCAATCTGTGAGCTTGGAATCTTTTTCCATTTCTTTGTGTATTACTCAATTTCTTTGATAAGCTTTCTATAGTTTTCAGCATACAGATCTTTTACCTCTTTGGTTAAGTTTATTCCTAGCTATGTTCTGATTTTTGGTGTAATTATAAATGGGATTGATTCCTTGATTTCTCTTTTAGCTGCTTCATTATTGGTGTATAGAAATGCAACCAGTTTCTGTACTTTGATTTTGTATCCTGTGACTTTGCTGAATTCCTGTATCAGCTCTAGTAGTTTTTTGGTGGAATCTTTCAGGTTTTCCATATAGAGTATCATGTCATGTATAAAGAGTGAATGTTTGACTTCTTCTTTGCCAATTTGTATGCCTCTTATTTCTTTTTGTTGTCTGATTGCTGAGGCTAGGACTTCCAATACTATGTTGAACAACAGTGGTGATAGTGGACATGCTTGTCGTGTTCCTGACCTTAGGGGGAAAGCTCTGTTTTTCCCCATTGATGATGATATTAGTTGTGGGCCTTTCATTTATGGCTTTTATGATGTTGAGGTATGTTTCTTCTATCCCTACTTTCTTGAGGGTTTTTATCAAGAAAGCATGCTGTGTTTTGTCAAATGTTGTATCTGAGAGGATCATATGGTTCTTATCCTTTCTTTGATTAATGTGGAGTATCACCTTGAGTGATTTGTGAATATTGAAGCAGCTCTGAAGCCCAGGAATAAATCCCACTTGATCATGGTGAATAATTCTTTTAATGTACTGTTGAATTCGATTTGCTAATATCTTGTTGAGGATTTCTGCATCCAGGTTCATGAGGGATATAGGCCTATAATTCTTCTTAGTGGGGTATTTGTCTGGTTTTGGAATCAGGGTAATGCTGGCTTCATAGAATGAGTTTGGATGCTTTCCTTCCATTTCTATTTTTTGGAACAGTTTGAGAAAATAGGTATTAAGTCTTTTAAAAAAATTGTTCTATCCCATTATCTTGGTTTTCTTCTTCAAGGATTGTTCTTATCTGTATGTTGGATCCTAAGAGAGATTTAATCACTCTTTCTCTTGAATCCTTTTATTTTCTTCACCGGAGGTGGGTGAAATTTAAAATTTCTACCTTATCACTTTCTATATCTCTTAAGATATTATCTGTGATAGCTACTTGTTCTTGGATTCCTTCCAGTTTAGTCTTTTTTTTTCCTGAGCAGATTTTTTTTTTCCATGTTAAGAGAATACGTCACTTTATTTTTTGTTTTAAGCTTTTAGTTAATGTATAGTGTAATAGTAATTTCAGGAGTAGAATTTAGTGAGTCATCACTTACATATAACACCCAGTGCTCATTACAAGTGCCCTCCTTAATCCCCATCATTTAACCCATCCCCCGCCCATCTCCTCCCTACCAACCCTCAACTTGTTCTCTATACTTAAGAGTCTGTTTGGTGTCCCTGCATGGCTCAGTCAGTTAAGTGTCTGACTTCAGCTGGGGTCATGATCTTGTAATTTGTGGTTTTGAGCCCTGCATTGGGCTCTGGAGCCTGCTGTGGATTCTATGTCTCCCTTTCTCTCTGCCCCTCCCCGACTCACTCGTGTATGTGCTCTCTCTCTCAAAAATAAACATTAAAAAAAAAAAAGTCTGCTTAATGGTTTGTGTTTCTCTCTCTCCCCTCTCTCTGCCATGTTCATCTGTTTTGTTTCTTAAATTCTACATATGAGTGAAATCATATGGTATTTGTCTTTCTCTGAGTGACTTATTTCACTTAGCATAATACACTGTAGTTACATCCATGTTGTTGCAAATGGCAAGATTTCATTCTTTTTTTATGGCTGAATAATAGTCCATTGTGTGTATATACAACGTCTTCTTTATCCACTTATTAGTCAGTGGACATTTGGGCTCTTTCCCTGAGCTGATTTTTAAACTTTGTTCTACCTCTTAGGTTTTGTTACTTCATTTCTGAGTTTTTATAATCTGAATGTCTTATTTTCAAATAGTAGGTTACACTTTTTCTGTTTTATGAATATGTCTTTGTTGTGCTTTCTTTGTGTGTTGGGATGTTATTCTACTCCTTTCTGTTTTTTGTAATAATAATTTTGTATGGGATTTGAACTTGATCTCTTTCTATTGCTTATTTTTATGTTACAGTTTTTGTGAATTTTTAGAAGAAGGCAGGATTCAAAATAACTTTTCTAATTTCTGTTGTTTTCTTGTAGTTTGCAAGTTATGGCCACTTGTTAATTTGTTATTTAGATATTTCCTGGCTCATTTCTTTTCCTCAACTCCACTTGGACCTTTTCTTTTTTGTCTGTACCATCCCTGTGCTGCTTAGCAGATTCCACTGCTAGCAGTTTCTCCACAGTATGGGGTCCTGTCCAAGAACGTAGTCCTGGCTCACAAGTACTGAGTATCCCTAGACTGCCCCCACTCCTTTGGATCTTCTTGAGTGGAACTCTTGCCCTCACCTTGTTTTAGGTACCATTTCATTCTCAGATCGCCTGCCCCACTTCCTAGTGAACACCACATGTCTCTGTGCTCAAATTCTCCTTTGCTCCTTCACTTCTCACAGCTTTGCTCTCAAATAGGAGCATATGTAGGACTTTGCAGGGTTGAATATTTGTCCTTACCCATTTGTATTTTGGAATTTATTCTCTTAGTTGTACATGTTTCTGTGCTTTTTGTTTTGCTTTCTTGTTACTCTTTTTTACATGGGGATTCAGAGATATTTAAAAACTATGCCTTCACCATTGCCATTCCTATGTTTCCACATTGTTAATTGTCAAGTTAATATATATTTATGAAGGTGATTTCATTTTTGTTTTTTTTGTTTTTCTTTAAAAACAATCTCCACAGAGAAAAAGAAATTGGGATATAGAATACCCATCCTTACCTGGAGGGAGTCCACTGAAGTTCAGAAGAGCAGGTCTCAGGACAGTGGGGGCAACTGCCTCTCTCTCTGAAGCATGGCTCAGGTGTGGAGAAGGATTTCAGGACACTTCTGGGACCCTGGTAAAGTAGTTGTAAAATTATTTCCTTGAGTGCCAAATTTGAGATAAATCTTAGATTCCTGAGTGTTCAGGCCACTGTATTTATGTTTCTTTGGAATTCCTTTCCTTATTTCAGGATACAGTAATTACTACATTCTTCTTTGCTCAACCTTGAATTCATTTTTGCCACTTCTTTATGCTAGGCACAACCTTTGTACTTTTTTGTAAATGAAGGTTACATACTGAGAAGTTTCTCAGAAGATAAAATCTTTGAGCATCCTGCTCTTCACAAGAAATATATTTATGAAATGCTTTTATATCCTTAGAATCTTTTGGCAACAAGATATTCTAGGTAATTTTTGTATATGTGCAGATTTTGAAATACTGATAATATAAATGTGTACAAAATGGAATACTGTTATAAACTTTTAATGGTTCTCTGTTTAGATTCTGGGAAAATATAAAAATATTTATATATATATGAGGAGTATGTTCTTTGGGAATACTTACTGGTAAATATAAATAAAACAGGAATATTTCAAGGAGGGTATAGTTTAAGGTTTTGAGTATTACAAAATAGTTTTGGTTTTAGCCCTTGTTATAAATTTCTTCTTCTTCTTCTTCTTCATCTTCTTCTTCTTATTCGTCTTCTTCTTCTTCTTCTTCCTGCAGTTGTTAACGGCTGAAAAGAAGATTGTTACAGAGAAGCACCTTGAATTATCCCTGAGACCCAAGGAAGGTAATATTTTTGTTGATTTATTGACAGAAAAGGTATAAGACTAATATATCCTTCTTTGATTTATTTACTTTCTTTTAAAAAGTTATTTAACATAGTTTGGGTAGACTGTATATTTGTGTTTTCCAAAATGTAAAAAACATATTTTTGAGAAATCTCTCTCTAATCTTTGTCACCATCTATCACATTTTGTCTTTCTTCCTATAAGTAATTATTAAAATTTTTCATGTGTCCTTCCTGGATTTACTCTTAATGAGCAGAGCCCGGTAGGTTAGCTTAGGCTCACAGCCCCAGAATTTAAAACTTCTGATTTGGGAAATAAAGTTATGACCTATTATATAAGGACTGTACTATTTCAGGCAGTGGAATTCTTAACTTGGTGAATTAGTTAGGGAAAGCTTTCAGTTGCAGATACATAGAAACTGTTAGAGTGTGTGAAGAAATGGAGTTGAATTTATCTCCTGCAACAAGAAGTTCAGGGAGTCAGACTTGTTCTGAGTCCGGCAGCCTTAGTGTGGAGTTTGTTCTTGCCGTCATGAGGTGGAAGCTGAATTCTCCGGGCCCAATTCTCAGGAGGAGTGTGGGCTTTGCGGATTCTCTCCAGGTATACTTTTTGTCTGGAAAGGAATCCCCCCCCCCCCCCCCCACCAGGACCTCAACCTTTGGCCAGAACTTGTTATATAGGGTCACTTCTACTAAAGGGACTTCAGTGAAATTAAAGATTTTTAAATATGTATGTTGCTTCTCAAATAAAATTGGGGTTTTGTTAGTAAGGAAAAAAAGGGGATGGATATCAGGGAGGCTGCTGACTGCTGCCGTACTCAGTTACCCTGTGGGTGGGCAGGGAGAGTCAGGGCTTGGGACCTCAGGGATCTCCTTTGGCCCCTTGGTGTCCTGACTGTATCCTGTGAGGGCACTTGTCATATTAGAATAATTTGACACCTCTGTAAAGACCCTGTCTTCAAATAATCACATTCTGGGATGCTGGGATGTTGGAACTTAAACATATGAATGACCTTTGGGGCAACACAATTCAGTCCATAACACCACGTGCTAGCACAATGCCTGCATGCAGTGGTTACCCAAAATGCTTACCTGTTGTAACTATTCTCAGTCTAGCTAATGTTCTTCCTAGAAGTCATTTTATCTATAGTGATTTTATCTATATAAATTATATAAAGTACCTATAATTCAGGGGTTTATGAATTCCATAAATTCATTATAGAATCTGAAAAAAGCAGTAGCTTTACTTCCTGTTTCAGTCTGTTCAAGCTGCTATAACAATAATGCTACAGACTAGGTGGCTTATAAACACCAGAAATTTATTTCACACAGTTCTGGAGGTTGGAGGTCCAGTATATTCAGTGTCTGGTGAAGACTCACTTCAGGTTCATGACAGTATCATCTTGCTGTGGACTCACATGGAAGAAGGGGTCAGCAATCTCTCTGGGGGCTTCTTTTGTAGACTACTAATGCCATTCATGAGGGCTTCACCCTCATGACCTAATCACCCCCAAATCCCCACCTCTTAATCTCACACATTGGGGATTAAGTTTCAACAGGGTAAATTTTAAGAGATATAAGCATTCAGTCTATAGCATTCCACTCCTTCCTTTTCAGTTTACTCTTCCTGATGCATAATAATATAAGGGTTTGATAATGTCTTTTGCAATATATACACAGTTTAGTTTTTATTAGCTATTTAAATCTATATGGATGAAGTTTAGTTTATTTTTAATTTTGTATTTTGAAGGTAGACAACTTTAGTAATTCTGGGTGTTCATGGCACAAAGTAAGTGTCAATAAATGTATATAATTATTTTCTGGTTTTGTGCCTTTGTAAGTACTGTATTTTCAGACATCATCTTGTCAGCGAATCTCCTTTCCTGATCAACACAAAGTGGAGCAATTGCATTTTTTCATACCTTTCAGACCATGCATTACTTGAGGGAGGAGTTTTCTTATTTTTCTGTTTCCTCAAGGTTTACTATATCAGAGTTGTTATGTAAATATGTATTAAATGAAGCCATTTAACTTCTTTTTTTTAATGTTTATTTATTTTTGAGACAGAGAGAGACAGAGCATGAGCAGAGAAAGGATAGAGAGAGAGGGAGACACAGAATCCGAAGGAGGATCCAGGCTCTGAGCTGTCAGCGCAGAGCCCAACACGGGACTCGAACCCACAAGCTGTGAGATCATGACCTGAGCTGAAGTCGGAGGCTCAACTGACTGAGCCACCCAGGCGCCCGAAGCCATTTAATTTCTGAGCCTGTTTCCTCTTCTGTAAAACTTGAATTATAATATCTAATCTCTTAATCTCATTGTAATGTGTCTAAGGTACTTTTTTTAAGTTTAACATTATAACTCAATTAGATAAATATAAGTAGAAAAATTGATTTTTATGAAGTATATATTCCTTTTCTGATCACTATCAGAAAAATTTTCTGTGAACTTCCTATTACACCAAGATAGAGTAGCCCCATTCCTTCTAGGTTTTCCATCTATCAGAATGGCTAAAATAAAAAGTGGTGACAACATCAAATGTTGTAAATGATATGGAGAAACTGATACATTGCTGATGGAACTGTAAAATGGTACAGCCACTCTGGAAAATAGTTTGGCAGTTTCTTTTTTTTTTTTTAATTTTTTTTTCAACGTTTTTTATTTATTTTTGGGACAGAGAGAGACAGAGCATGAACGGGGGAGGGGCAGAGAGAGAGGGAGACACAGAATCGGAAACAGGCTCCAGGCTCCGAGCCATCAGCCCAGAGCCTGACGCGGGGCTCGAACTCACGGACCGCGAGATCGTGACCTGGCTGAAGTCGGACGCTTAACCGACTGCGCCACCCAGGCGCCCCGAGTTTCTTAGAAGACTAAACATGCAATTACTGTACAATCAGCAATTGTCTTTTGACATTTATCCTAGAGAATGAAAATTGCATTCACATAAAACTCCATGTGCAATATTTATAGCAGCTTTATTCATAATAACCCCAAGTTAGAAACAACACAGATGCCCTTTAGTTATTGAATGGATAAACAAGCTCTGGTGCATTCAAATCATGGAATACTACTTAGTAATAGAAAGAAAGGGTTGCTACATAGAACAACTTGGATGAATGTGCAGGGAATTATGCCACATAAAAGCCAATCCTGAAGGGTCACATAGTATGATTCCATTTGTATATCATTCTTGAAATGACAAAATTACAAAAGTGTAAAAACTGATTCATTTGCAGAGGTTCAGAATTGGGGAAAAGAGGGTAGCTATGATGTGGCTTTAAAAAAGGTAATACAAGGGGCACCTGTGAAGCTCAGTTGCTTAAGTGTCTGACTCTTGATCTCAGCTCAGGTCTTGATCTCCAGGTCATGAGTTCAAACCCACATTGGGCTTTGCACTGGGCATGAAGCCTATTTGAAAAATAATAATAGATAAATAAAATGAAAAGGTAACAAGATATCCTCATGGTGATGGGATTGTTCTATGTCTTGAGTGTATCAGAATCAACATTCTGGTTGTGATGTTACGTTTTGCAAAATGTTACCATTGGAGGAACTGGGTAAAGCATACAAGGGCTCTCTTTATTGCTTCTTATGCCTATAGGTGAATCTATTATTACCTCAAAATAACAAATTTAGTTAAATAAAAGTTTGCTGTTAAGTGTTTTTAAGCACAATACTGCTACCAGGGCTCCCAGTATGGCAAAGGAGGCACATAGAAGCATTTCTGTTGTACAGAAGTATTGGATTTATGGTTTGTTTTGTGTTTTTCTTTTGGTTCATAAAATATTCTAGGAAGTTATACTTCTGTAATTATTTCACGGTTAATTTTTTGAGTTTCTCTTTGTGCCCCAATTTCCTTGTCTTTTATAACTTAACTCAATTTGTTCTACTTCTTTTTCTTCTTATAATTTGGTTTTAATTCATAGAATCTTGTGCTGCACATAGAACTTCAGGCAGGAAGATTTGGCATAAGACATTGCTTTCATTATCATTAGAATTTTATTATTTGTGATTTCAGCAAAGTAACATGCATAAAATCTTATTCTGATAAAGAACTATCAGTTAATTGTGTTTATGTATTTTCTTTTTTCTTTAACAGAAACTGCTGCATCTAAGAGTACCAGTGGACTTACAGATATAACATGGAGTTCCAGTGGAAGTGATGTGTCAGATGAGGATAAAACACTTTTTAAATCACAAAGAGATAATGGACATAGTTCTAGGATAGACAGATTTTCTAATAGGAACAAGAATATTTTATGTACAGAAGATGGGGCCAGTGAAGGTAAAATGAAATTTGTTTCTTACCTCTTTCTGTTATATATTGGGTTCAGTATTGGAAAAAACATCAATCCTTTTATAACATTTAGTATTAGTGATGACTATACTGAGTCTTGGCCTCTATGCTCAGCCCTTTAGAAACATTTTCTCATTTAATATTTCTCACAACAACTCTAAGAGATAAGTATTACAAGTATTATTTTTACAGCTAACAACTTAAGCTTGAACATGTAGAGTTGATTGGGATTCCACTTAGGGTCTCTGACAGCAAAGCCAGGTCTTTAAACTACTGCATAGTGCTGCACCTATTTTGCCTCCTTGCTGACCTGATTTGGGTAAATACTGTGATAGCCAATGTGTGGTAGAAGTGTAATACAAGTTTCTGTTCTGATGGCATTTTATATTGTGGGTTTAAAAAAAATTTTTTTTTTATTTATTTGAGAGAGAGAGTGTGAATGGGGGAGAGAGGCAGAAGGAGGGAGAGAATCTTAAGCAGGCTCCATGCTGAGCATGGACACGGGCCCAATCCCACAACCCTGGGATCGTGACCTGATCCAAAATTAAGAGTCAGATGTTCAACCAACTGAGCCATTCAGGGTGCCCCATATTGTATTATTATGTTTTTGACGATTTGAAGGAGAGTTTCTCAACCTTGGCACTAATGCCATTTGGGGCCAAAAAATTCTTTGTTGGGGGGAGAGGGACTTTCCTGTGTAGTGTAGGGTGTTTAATAGCATCTCTAGCCTTTTTTTTGCTAGATGACAGTAGTTCCCCCAGTCCCATTTGTGACAGCTGTGAATGTCTCCAGATGTTGTAAGATATCCCCAGAAGGACATCCCCAGTTGAGAACCACAGACTTTTAGAATTAGGAAAATCAGTCGTTTTACAATTTTTAAAATATAGCTTATCCAGAGTATTTATAAGTCTTAATGCTTTCAAAATAAACTTTGACTTTTAACTCTTTGAAGTTCATATGAGTTAGGTACTTGGTCAAGGTTAAGTTTATGCAGACAAACTCTGTGGAAGGTCATTTTATTCCTTTGACCACTTTACCAATTGACATTCTAGTAATAAACAGGTGAAGTGGTATTTTAAGGTTATACATAAGCTGGCAGCTCTTATATTGTTAATTCAATCATATTAAATGATATTCATTGTTATGTAACTCTTGGTTTGTCTTTACACATCTCAGAACATAATTTCATTTATATTAAAAACTATGCTTTTTATGGGTGGATAGTATGGTATGTGAATTACATCTCATTAAAGCTGCTATTAAAAGAAATAAAAACTGTTTATGTCCTTTATTAAAAGAGATAGTAGTTTTCAAAACTAAGACTAGAAAGGTATTTTGAGCTCATTATATTTGTCATTAGTTAATTTATATATTTGGGTGCTGTCCAGTTGGGGGCATAAATATTTACAATTGCTTGATCTTGGAGGATAGACCTCTTAATATGATATAGTGTCCATCTCTTGTTACAGTCTTTGTTTTAAAATGTAGTTTGTCTAATATAGGTATGGCTACTCCAGCTTTCTTTTGATGTCCATTAGCATAATAGATGTTTCTCCATCCCCTCACTTTCAATCTGCAGGTGTCTTTAGGTCTAAAATGAGTCTCTTGTAGGCAGCATCTAGATGGGTCTTTTTTTAATTTTTAAATTTGTTTATCCATTCTGATACCTATGTCTTTTGATTGGAGCATTTAGTCCGTTTACATACAGAGTGATTATTGATAGATATGAATTTAGTGCCATTGTGTTACCCATAAAATTGGTGTTTCTGGTGATATTCTCTGGTCCTTTCCAGTGTTTATTGGTTTTGGTCTGTCTTTCTTACTCATAAAGTCCCCCTTAAAATTTCTTGCAGGGCTGGTTTAGTGATCATGAACTCTTAGTTTTTGTTTGAGAAATTTTCTGTCTCTTCTCCTATTCTGAATGACAACCTTGCTGGATGAAGAATTCTTGGCTGTATATTTTTCCCTTACATTACTTTACATTACTTTGATCTGCTGTGAACCTGATTTGTCTTCCCTTGTAGTTTAAGGACTTATTTTCCCTTGCTGCTTTCAGGATTCTTTCCTTGTCTATGTATTTTGTGAACTTGACTATGATACGTCTTCTTGTGGGCTGGCTTTTGTTGAATTTAGTGGGAATTCTCTGTGCCTCTTGGATTTGGATGTCTGTGTTCTTCCTCAGATAAGGAACTTTTTAGCTGTAATTTGCTCAGATAAACCCTCTTCGTCTTTTTCTCTCTCTTCTTCTTCTGGAATTCCTATGATACAAATGTTATCACTCTTTATGGAGCCATTGATTTCTCTGAGTACATTCATGATCCAATACTTTCCCTCTTCTTTTCAGCTTTATTATTTTCCATGATTTTATCTTGTATATTACTGATTCATTTTTCTGCTTCCCCATCCTCATTGTCATTGCATCCAGTCGGTTTTGTGTCTCAGTTCTAGCATTTTCTTTCAATAAATTTTTTCTGAAGTTTATTTATTTATTTAGAGAGAGCGAGAGGAGGGGGGCAGAGAAAGAGGAAGAGAGAGAGAATCTCAAGCAGGCTTCACACTGTCAATGCAGAACCCAGCATGGGGCTTGAACCCACCAACCTTGAGATCATGACTCAGTTGAGCTGAAGTCAAGAATCAGATGCTTAACCAAAGGAATCACATAGGTGCCCCTAGCATTTTTTATTTCATCCTGACTAGTTTTTAGTTCTTTTATCTCTGTAGCAAGGGATTATCTAGTATCTTCTATGCTTTATTCAAGCCCAGCTAGTATCCTTATGATTGTTGTTTTAAATTCTAATTCAGGCATCTTACTTATGTCAATCTTGATTAAATCCCTTGCCAGTACTTCTTCCTGTTCTTTCCTTTGGGGTGAATTCCTCCATCTTGTCATTTTGTCTAGGTTAATTTTTTTTTGTATGACTGTCAGGAAAGCCTTTTCTATTCCTGCTCCTGAGAGTAATGGCTATATTAAGAAGAGGTCCTATATTATCTTGGGCCTGGTGCTACAGGAAGTGTTTGCGTGTGCACTTTGCTGTTATATTTTGGCTGCACCTTCCCTGAGGTCAGTCTCCTGCATAGTTTCTCCTTGCCTGCAGTGCGGGGTTTTTGGACCTTGTCCACTGTATGGCACGTTTTAACTAGCTGTATTTTGGTCTGCTTGTTAAATGAAACTAGAGCCTATCTCCCTTAGAGCTGAAGCTTTGCAGCCTCTATGATCAGTAGACTAGGTGTGTGCGAGGGGTTTGTGCTGGTCTTCCGGGGGAGCAGCCTGCTGGGCTGATTCTCAGGCAGATTTGCTTAGTGGAGATGCCCCTGCAGGGCACAGGGGGCGGGGCTTGGTGTAAGTGGCTCTGGCCACCACTTAGTGGCACTGTTTTGCTCACTGAAGTTGGTCAGTGCTGATGGGCAGAGGAAATGATGTCACCCCACCTTCTTATCCCTAGAGCAGAGAGTTCGTGCATACTACTCTTCAGGAAGTTCTCACTTCTCTTATGTCCCTGGTGTCTGTCAGATCCCTGACTTCACCCTGTCTGTGTCCAAGCATCTGTCTGTGCCTGCCAGTACCTCCTGTGTTTTATCTCAGGCATGCAGCTGGCTTTTAAATCTCCAGATTTTACCGATCTACGTGGCATGGACCTGCACTGATCCTCTGGGGGAGGGTCTTAGCACGCTGTGGCTGGTGCAGGTTTGTCCCAGGAAAGCAGTCGCACAACCACACAGTGGTTTGGAGTTTATGGTAAAGCACAGCAAAGAAGCTGGCAACCAAGGTCTGCTGCCCTCAATAGATGTCTCTGTTCTATGCTAGTGTACAGGGCGGCATGTTGGCTCTTGTTAGCTCTCTTATCCCTTGAGAGGCTGTGCCACCTTTCCAGCTGCACCCCAAGAAAGGGAACTGTTTCTCCCCTTGTGACCCAGGGAATCCTCAGACCACACTTCCTGCTCTCCAGGCTCTGCGTCCTTCCCCACAGGAGCACTGCTAGTCCCACCAGGCATGACCCCTGCAATGGTGGGGCTTTCTAAAACTTCTGCAGAATTCAGCCCCTCTCCTTTTCCCAGTTAGTGATTTTGGGGAAGAGTTTTTCTTGTGCAGTCCCCTGGGTGCTGCTTTCTCTCTCTTTCTTTTTTCTTTTGCTCCTTTCTCCATTATCATGGCTCCCTCCCTTTCATGGCATCTGCAGTTCTTTCCTCCTCCAAATCAACTCTCTGTAGCTCCTACCTTCCATGATGTGGCCATTTTTCCACCACTAGATGTATAGTTTGTTACCTTAGTTCTCAGATCAATTTTTTGGGTGTTTGGAATGATTTGATATTTATCTCTATTCAAGGGAGGAGACAAGCATAGGGTCCCACTACTCCTCCACCATCTTAACTCTTCCTCCTTGAGTTAACTACTTTAAAATGAGTTCACATGGGGTGTCCGGGTGGCTCAGTCTGTTAAGCATCCGACTTTGGCTTAGGTCATAATCTCGCAGTGGGAGGGTTTGAGCCCCGAGTCTGGCTCTGTGCTGACAGATCAGAGCCTGAAGCCTGCTTCAGATTCTGTGTCTTCCTCTCTCTCTGCCCCTTCCCTGCTCATGCTCTGTCTCTTGCTCTCTCTTTCTCTCTCTTTCAAAAATAAATAAACATTAAAAAAATTTTTTTTTAAATAAGTTCACAAGTTGTTGACTTCTGTTAAGCAAGTTGACTGTTGGGTAAAAAATAAATGATCCCTTGGAGTGTATCTTATCATGTGTGTAAATGCTGGCTTATCTTTCTCTTCCTTTTCCTTCTCCTCCTCCCTCCCTCATTTTACCTTTAATTACCATTTATCAGTTTCTTATTTTACCCCAGACACTTGGGGCATATGTATATTATTTCCTTTTGATCAACTACATCCTGTAAGCAGAGTACCCTTGTTTTATAGAAGGAAATTGGGACTCAGAGAAGTCAAATGGCTTGCCCAGAGTCACATATTTAACAAGTATGCCAATTGATATTATTGGTTGGGATGTGTAACTTCAATGCTGTATGCTTCAACACTGTTCTGGTGCTTACCAAACCTGGCTTCTTATCATAATTTCCAAGTGAACTTTTAAAACAGTATACCTAGGGCATCTGGGTGGCTCAGTTAAGTGTCCGCTCAGCGATCTCATGGTCTTGAGATTGAGCTATGCTGAGCGTGGATCCTGTCTGGGATTCTTTCTCTCCTTCTCCCTCTGCCTCTCTCTAAATGAATGAATGAATGAATGAATTAATTAATTAATTAAAAACAATATATTCAGACCTCCTTCCAGCTGTATTGGATTAGACTGTCTGGGCCTTAAAGCCAGAATTGGGATTGAGAGGGAAGAGCTCTGAGTTAAAATTGTCAAAATATTTTCGTCTTTAAAAAATATTTCCCCCTCTGTTTGTCTTTTATATAACTTGGAGAAAACTTCTTAACTTTTTGAAGACTCAATTTCTTCATCTATAAAATGCAAATTTGAGTCTAACATTAATTGTCTTGACTGCTTCATAAAAACATTGTGAACAATGAAGTCTTATTAGTTTTGGTTGTGGTCTGTTTTTTCAGGGTAGGAACAGTGTTCTGTATTATCTCCTATATTTATTTGTTTGCTTGTTTTGGTATTGTGAGTGTCTAGAATGGTACAGTAGCCCCTCAGTAGGCACTGATTCTACTGAATAAATGAAGAATGATTGAACAAATGCTACAAAAGTACAGTAGCTTTGAGGGCACTTGTGTTCCTCCTCTGCCTTTCTGTGGCTTTCTGCTGTGATGCTTCAGCAACCTGGAGAATTTCTTATGCATTCCAGTGCCTGGCTTCCATAGTAAATGTGTTGTTACATGTGGGAAATAATTGCCATTATGCACCTGCTTCTCTTAGACTGGTTTGACCTCTAGTCTTTTATAATTACTCTAGTGGACTTCTATTTTCTGGAACAACAGTGTTAGATAAAAGAAGACTTCCATTTTTGTTTACTTTATTCCATATTTTTAACTTTAGCTGAAATTTTTCTTTGTTGTTGTTGTTGTTTTTATTTTTAATTTTCTTCAATTATTAAAGCTAGTAAGTTATTTTATTTTAATATGACTTCTATGTGGAAATAAGATTGTTGCTGTCAAACCTCTGAAATAGGGCTGAGATATCTTACTTGTCCTCTGAGTTGCTGAAGTAGCTGTAAGGGGGAATACTTGCGTTTTGTACTGTAGGAAAGGTTTATGTTATATTCCTCAGAGATACCTCAGAGATTAATTTATCCTTAATAACTAATTTTATTTCTTTAAATACAGATTAAATTTGGTTATTTAATATATGAAAATAATTTAACTTCCAAATTAAATTTTGCAGAAGTACTACCTAGATAAAAATGCTTATAAAGTAAACCAAAAAGTAAATTTACTTGTTTCTTTATTGATGAGAAATATATAGAAAAAGTTTTAGGTGAAAATCCTTGAATAAGTCTATTAGTAGAAGACTGATTAAATAAATTGTAGGTTAACTGTGTAATGGAATACTATGTTATTAAAAAGAATGAGGATGTTGCCTGTTAATTGATGTGGGAAAACCTCTGTTAAGTAAAAAGAAATCAAAGTGTATTGGAAAAGAGGAAAAAATAATAATATATTTTATTTGCTTGGTTATGCTAGAGAAACTCTAGAAAGACACAAAAACAACTAATGAAAGTAGTTACCTGAGAATTGGAGTAGGGGCAGTAGGAGAAACAGGATGGCTAGAGATAAGAGTAGGAATATAGTTTTCACAGTCTTTTAATATATTTTTAAAAAATGACTCAGCAATATGGATGTTTTTAACTACTGAGAATTAAAAAAATGGATTAATAAATATTAAGGATTTTAAATTGTTTAAAATTGTATATTTTAGATGAACTACAGTTTATTGACTGGGAGATTGACAGTGACAGGGAAGATACTAGTGAGTATAATGAATTTGAAGACTGTGAGAGTGTTGTGGAAATATCAGACTGTGCTTCTTGTTCAAGCAATCATTCTTCGACTAGTGAAGAGGGGTTCTCTGAGCTCTTGAAGGTAAGAACCAGTTGTCTCAAAATTTTTCATTCTGTTTGTCACATTTGTCAATCATAGCCGTTTAATGTTTGAGTTTTAACTCTTTTTTCCAGGACACTTTTGATTCTTAGGGATTCTTTTATTCTTTACTTCCTTGTCTCTAAATAACATGCTTGTCATGTACTTACAAACACAGTAACTCTCCTCACCCACTCCTCCACCTGCACTTTTGCACTTTTCCCATTCCTCCATTCTCCCAGGACACATGTGTCATGGTTTGCTTAGATTAGTATTCAGCATTATGTAATATTCATAGCCATGGCAAATATTAATTATGATTATTTTTCCTTCAAAACTTTTCATTTTCCTTGGAGTTAATTATTTTGGGTTTTTGTTTGCCTAGCTTTATTTATTGATATTAAAACTCTAACTTTTTGTCCTCATTTGGCTCTCCTGTTAAGGTTTTTAGGCATAGCAGACATTCTGTCAGTTTTGTTTTCTTGGAGAACTCATTCTCACGGCCTCCTAGCTGCTCTAATTTGTTCCACTGCTTTGTGGATGTAGCCACCCTTTGGTCACTCCTCACCATTTTCCAGTAATTCCCTTTACTTCTCTTCTGTGCAGCGCAACTTTATCCTGGATTCCATGTCTTCCTCTTTCTTGGTTTTTATTCTCAGTTTGATTAAGCACATCTTCTAGGAAAGGATTTATGGAAGATAAATGGCATGCCAGAGATGTATTTATCATACTTTGATAAGTGGCTAACCATTTATGTAGAATTGTAGTTTGGAAATCATTTTTCTTCAGTATTTTGAAGACATTGCTTCATTGTCTTCTAGTTCCAGATTTGCTGTCAAGAAGTGTGAAGCTATTCTCATTCTTGATTTTTAAGGATTTTCTCTTTGTCACTTCTTTTAGCAGCATGATTGTGATATGCCTATGTGTGGTTTTCTGCTTGGAGTTTATCAAGCTTTTTGGGTATGTGGGGAATCAGAGGTCCCCAAGCCCACCCCTAGGTTTGGTAATTCACTAGGAGGACACTCAGAACTTAGTATATGGTCATACTCATGACTATGATGTATTACAGTGAAATGATACAAAGCAAAATCTGCAATTTTTCAAGAATCCTAGTCTAGTGGAGTCACATAGGATACGCTTAATTGCTTCAGCAATGAGTTTTGACAACATCTGTAAAGCATTGCCCGCCAGGGGAGCTCATTAGCGACTCAGTGCCCAGAGTTTTTATTGGGGGGCTGGTACCAAAATTTTAGTACCAAAAGCATGTACCAAAATTTTAGATTTCAAGAAGGAAAACAGGTATTCAAACTAAGCCATATTGTTAGCACGGTTTAGGCAGAGGGAGACACTTTCACCATTTAGGGGAGGTTGGGAACTCTCTTGGTGTCTAAGTAAGCAGAGGTAGACAAGGACCAACATTGCAAGCAGGCCTTTCTGAGTATACCCTCAGGTCAGCTATGTTAACTTTCTTATTTGTATGGATTTAAAGTTTTCATAACATTTAGAAAGTTTTTTTGCCTTAATTTTTTTTCTGAATTCCCTTTTCCTTTCCTTTTGGACTACAATTATATGTATATTAATGAGGCTGCTCCATGTTATATCATGGGATCATTGATGCTGTATTCATTTTCCCCCCTCTCTTTTTAATTTATGCTGGCTTTTATTGCTATATCTTCAAAGTTTAATATCTTTTTGCTCTCTGTGTCTAATTGTCTGTTAATACTATCCAGTGTATTTGTCATCTCTTAAAGTTTGATATGAATCTTTTTGTATTATCTTGTCTTAACCTCATCATATCTTTTCTATGTTTTGAAAATATAGAGTGTATTTATAATAGTTGTTTTAGTGACTTTTTCTATAACTCTATCATTTGTGTTATTTTTGTGTCTATTTCAATTGATTAATATTTCTCTTTATTGTGGATTGTATTTTTCTCCTTTGCATGCCTAGACATTTTTCAGTGGATACCAAATATTGTGAATTCTATGTTGTTCGTTGCTGGATTTTAAAAAATTTCTTTAAATATTTTGTAACTTTGTTCTCAGGTGCCGTTATTTGGAAACAGTTTCATCCTTTTGGGTGTTGCTTTATGATTTATTAGGTGGGTCTGGGGAGTGTTATGTCACTACCCTCCTGAGCATTCTATGTAATACTCCTAATTATGGGTTTTTCTGGTCTGGCTGGCAGGAGTAGCTGCCGTGGCCTGACACTGGTGTGGCATTGGGAACTGTTCTCTAGATGGTTCTTTCCCTGGTCTAGAGTAGTTTTATTTTTATGCACATACTGATCAGTACTCAGCTGAATACTTGAGGTGGATTGCTGGAGTTTTTTGTGTAGCTCTGGTTTTTCTGTTACTCTGTCCTACGAACTCTAGCTACATTTGTCTCCCTGGACACTCAGCTCTGTCTCTTCAACTCAGGGAACCCACTGGACTCAACCTCAGTTCCTCTTTTATGTTGTGTGGTTTGGAAATTCTCTCAAGAAAGTAAGCTAGGGCAATTGTAGAGCTCAATTTTTTATTTCCTGACTTTCAGGCATTAGTGTTTTTGTCTGATGTTCAGTGCTTGAAAACCATTGTTTCATATATTTTGTCAGGATTATTTCCTTTCTTCCTACCTGCCTTCCTTTCTCTCTCTCTCTCTCTTGTTTTTTGTTTGTTTTTTTTCATTTTGTTGTTACTGTTTTTGGTGTTTTAGGTGGGAGGATAAATCCATTTGCTATTATTCCATCTTGGCCACCTTTCTGATCTTTTATGCAGTCCAGTACATGATAAGATGCTCATCATCATTAGTCACTAAGGAGTTGCAAATCCAAACCATGATGAGATACCACTTTACACCTATTAGGATGGCTGTTATCCATAAATGGGAAAAAAACAACAACATTGAGATATTGGAACCCTTATTCATTGCTGGTGGGAATGTAAAATGGTACAGCCACTGTGGAAGAGCTTGATGGTTTCTCAAAAAGTTAAACATGAAATTACCACATAATCCAGCAATTCTGCTTCTGAATATATATACACAGAAGAACTGAAAGTGGGGACTCAAATATATTTGTACATCAATGTTCATAGTATCATTATTCACAATGGTTGGATGGTGGAAACAATCCAAATGTCCATCAACAAGAATGGATAAGCAAAATGTTGTATATATGTACAGTGGATTATTATTCAGCCTTAAAAAAGAATGAAATTCTGGGGTGCCTGGGTGGCTCAGTTGGTTAAGTGTCTGACTCTTTGATTTGAACTCATATCATGATCCTAGGGTTGTGGGATCAAGTCCCCTGTCAGGTTCCATGCTGAGTGTGGAGCCTGCTTAAGATTCTTTTCTCTCTCCCTCTGCCCCTCTCCCTTGCTTGTGCACTCTCTCTCTAAAATATAAAAAAGAATTTCATTCCTTTTTCTAAAATGTTAAATGTTTATTTATTTATTTTGAGAGAGAGAGAGGCCATGAGAGCGGGGGAGGGGCAGAGAAAGAGGGAGAGAGAGAATCCTAAGCAGGCTTCCCATTGTCAGTGCAGAACCCAGCTTGGGGCTTGATCTCATGAACTGTGAGATAATGACCTGAGCCAAAATCAAGAGTCAGATGCTTAACCTACTGAGCCCACCCAGGCACCCTGGAATGAAATTCTGATACAAGTACAGTATGGATGAACTTTGAAAACATTATTGTAGATAAAATAAGCCAGACACAAAAGGACAAGTGCTGTGTAATTCAACATATAGGCAGTACCTTGAATAAGCAAATTCATAGAAACAGAAAGTAGAATAGAGGTTACCAGGGGCTGAGGAGTAAGGGGAGTTATTGTTTAAATGTGAATAGTTTCTGATTGGGATGATGATGAAAGGTTCTAGATGGTTAGTGGTGCATTTATAAACATCATGAATGCATTTAATGCCACCGAGGTGTACATCTAAAAATGGTTAATATGGTAAATTTTTTGCTGTGTACATTTCACCACAATAAAAAAAAATTAAAAAAAAACTATAACATATTTTTACTTTAAAGTATTTCTCTACTATTAAAATTTTTGTTTTTTAGAACTTTTATTGTTGGTGTGGTAAAAATGTTTGTGGAGAAAATGCTAAATGATAAAGCAAAATACCAACCTGTATATACAGTAAAATCTTAACTAAGGGATCACAAAGGATCACTGAGAGTCCCGAGACTGCCACCAAACTCCCCTTGGGATAAATCCTATCTAACCAGACCAGGAAGTGTTGTGCCATGACCTAAAATTTTTTGTTAACCTTTCAGTTTACAGACCGGACTAGTAACCCTTTACTTCTATTAACTTCTACAGTGTGAAAGAAGGCCTTCTATGATAGCATGATCTTATGTCACATTATACTAAAAACATACTCTGTAAAGTTTTTTCCTAATATTTACTTATTGTGGTAGTGGTTTCAGTCACTGAAATATCTGTTACCTCATGTGCCTGGCTTTTTAAAGCACCTCAATTCTGTTCAGAAAGATGGGATTTTTGTTCATAGCTTCATATCATAGGCTACCTGTTTTTATAATTTTAGAGTTTTATCTGATATTTGATGAGCAGGTTCTGTATTGATAGGATAATAAAGCATTTAATATGATGGATTCATAAATTTTATTATAGATTATTGCCATCACCAAAATAAAAATCTGGTATTTTACTCTTATCAGAAACTTGAATTTTTTTATTAGGAAATAACCGTTTATTAGTATTTTTAATTTTTTTTGTTGGCCTTTTTTGGGAGAAATATTCTGTGAACTGAGGATATGTTTATCCCTTGAAAGCTGCTGTAAATAACCACGACTTTTAGAAAGACTACTGCCGCATTGATCGAGATGCTGGGTGATTGGTTGTGTTCACTACCTGAGAAACTCTTGCGCTCAGGTTTTGTGGTGCTTGCAGTTCGTTTCATACCTTGTTAAAATTACAAATTACAGTATGACACAGGTTTTTCAGGGAAGCTCTTGAATAATAAAATATGTAGTTATAAGAAGTAAATGTTAAGC